ATATATATATATAACTATATTATACATATTCATTAATGACGTCTATTGAGCTGACACAGCCACTTCAGCACAATCGAATAAAAGTTGCACAGAAATTTAGTGCTTTTTTGTTGCTAATTTGTTACTCTATTCCCAATTTTGTTGCTCCAATTCCGAAGAAACAATGGCTGCATAAGAATAAAGTTAGCACAGCCACTCAAAAAAATAAAAAAAAATTAAAAAATACGGCATATTCTTTTTGTGCTAATTTGTTGCTAATTAGTTGCTTATTTCCCGATATTATTGCTCCATCCCCAACCTCGAAAATCACCCCTATCCCTCGAGTCAACATACTACCTATAAATTGTTAATTCTCGAAATATCTCGACTGATTACGGTTCTCTAATTTTGTTGCTGGCGATTCGCGACGAATCCGATTTTGTTGCTCCACTTCCGGACCTTGAAAACCATCCCTAGGCACTCCGAGTTAGCATACCACCTATAAATTGTTAATTCTCGAAATATCTCGACTGATTACGGTTCTCTGATTTTGTTGCTCGATTCCCGACGAATCCAATTTTATTGCTTCACTCCCAATTTTATTGCTTCACTCCCAAATCTTGAAAATCAGCCCTAGACATCTAGAGTTAGCACACCACCTATAAATTGTTAATTCTCGAAATATCTCAACTGATTACGGTTCTCTGATTTTGTTGGTCGCGATTCCCGGTGAATCCGATGCTAGCACAGCCATTGTTTTTTCAGAATCGGCTGGAGCAACAAAATCGGAAATAGAGCAACAAATTAATAATAAAAAGACACTAAATTTCTGTGCAACTTTTATTCGATTGTGTGTGCTGAAGTGGCTGTGTCAGCTTAATAGACGTAAATATAGAATATATAGAATATGTAGAAATTTGAAAAATTTGATAAATATATAAAAATGTGATAGGTATTACTATCCTTATTGCGCAATGAATAAAAGGACAGTAACATTTTTAGCTCAAATATATATATATTCTATTTTTTTTTTAAATTAGCAATTACACCACTTGAGCAACGTGTTTCAGCTTTAAGAATCTGTTTAAAATTATTAATTAGGATGATTTTTAACGGAGCAATTATTTATAAGCAATCAAAATCAGAATGCTCTTTTATTTAATCCGCTAATGTAACAAAAAGTCATAGGAACATTTTTTCAAAACGAACTTTTAGGAAATACTTTAAGCTTGCACGTCAGATAATTGAAAATTTCGTAACAAATATATTCTGTATATAATTTTGAGCTAACAAAAGTCCGCAGAACTTCTCTAACCCAATATTTTGCATGCACGTAAGCGTATTATAAATATATTCTAGATATATACTGTAACAAAAACAGAAATAAGGAAATATCCCAATAAACGAGAATGAATTAAAATGAATTAAAAATTGTAATTCATTTTAATTTATTATATTCTGAGTTCGCGCTTTAGAGCGCGGAGCTGGATTGAATTAATATCTGAAGGCATAAATTTGTTTCTGTTCATGAACATTTATAATTCTTTCTTTATACCATAAATAGAACAGCATTTTTATGTTTATTTCAATCGAAATAGGATTATTCCTATTACTGTTTATTACTATATTCGGATATAAATTTAGGGTTCATATATTTTCGTCATAACTTTTAAACAGAAGTGCGTTTTTTCATAATTTTGAACTGTTATATATTCAAATCAGCTTACAAATTAGAGCTTTGTTGAAATTTTTTTTTTTATTGAAATAAATTGAAATGAGACTGTTTTATAATTTTGAACTGGGATGTATTTATATATCCCATAAAAAAATTTCAATCCATTTTAATCCATTCTCGTTTGTTGGGTATAATTCATATTTTGCCGCATTTTGTTACAGTAACGCAATTCTGCAATATTTAGCAGATCAGTATGATATGAGCGATAAATTGTATCCAAAGGCACCGAAGTTGCGAGCGATTGTCAATCATCGTCTGTGTTTCAATTTAGCACTTTATTACCGTAACATCAGTGAATATACTGTAAGTCCAATTGTCGATTGAATCTCGTATTCGCCGAACGCGCGTATTTATTATTACTTATACCACAGTTGGCGCCGATATTTTATGATTATCAACGCTCACCGTTGAGTCTCAAGAAAACAAAAATCGCATTGGATATCTTTAACACGTATCTGCAACGTGAAAACTCCGAATATGCAGCAGGCAGTGAGTGTACACACACACACACACACACACACACACACACACACACACACACACATAATATATATATAATTATTATATATAATTATTATATACATAAAATTATATATATTATTATACATATGTATAAAATTATTAATTGTACATATACAAGGTATTAGTACAAAAATATATATGAAGCATACCACGAGATACAGGACAAAATCCAAGTCGAAAAGTCCGTAATTATTTTATGAGATGATTTGAGCTTTATATGTTTGTTATTATATATGGTGTTAAAAGCAAATCAGCGTCCGTCTATAGAGGGAAAGCAGGGACGAGAGCAATCTAGTAAACGAGAATAAATTGAAATAAATAGAAATTAATTCATTTTAACATTTCAGAATTCGCGCTTCTGATGATTTTTCAAATCCATTTGAATTCATGAATTCATCTGAATTTGACAAAATTTGATAAAAGGCTCATTTTGTATTTCATTTCAAAAATAATATAATACGAACATGAATCGTTTAATTTCAACATGATAAATAGCACATTTCGTATTTCTATTCATTTGAGTCCAAAAATACTTACGTTGTAAAATGAATACATTCGAGTTAAAAATTATGAAGATATACGCTTTTATTTAAATAGAAAATGACGGAAATATGTAAGACCTGAAGACTTTATATCCGAGTAAAATAATACATTTCGATCGAAAGTATGAATATAAAAATATTGTTATATTTATAAAGAATGAATTATAAATGTTATTGTAAAATCAAAAGAATATTTACAGGAAATTATTTTCAAGTAGTTGTTTTATTTTCTATCCATCCAGCAAACGAGAATGGATTGAAATAGATACAGATTTTCAGAAATATTGATTCACGAATGTTAAAATGAATACTTTTCAATCCTGAATGCATTTTTATTCATTTATAGGAATTGCATGGAGTATATCTCTAAAGAGCCTTTCAATCTAAAAATGATATTAGCTTTTTCTGTGTATTATGAATACTGTTCAATTCAAAATTTTGAATAGGAAATGCAGTTTTTCAATCCAATTGCATCCAATTGAATCTAATTGAATCCAAAAAAAGTATTCGCTATTTAAAATACGCATTCGGATAGAAAAAAATTTCAATTCATTTTAATCCATTCTCGTTTGCTGGGCATAACAGAATTTATGTCCTCAGATATCAATTTATTAAAATTTATTTCAATCCAGCGCTGAGCTTTAAACCGCAAATAAATTGAAATTTTTTAACCAGTCCATTTCTCTCTCTCTCTCTCTCTCTCTCTCTCTCTCTCTCTCTCTCTACACCTTGTTTAAGAAGATCTTATGATAAAAAAGTAAGAGACCCACAAGAACGTACACAGAATGAATGGTGACTCACTTAAGGCAGTTTATTGATAAAATTGACCATCGATATGGCTTATCACTGTATTCAATCCGCTACAAAAGTATACAAATAAAATAAATGTTTTGTTTAAAATTAAAATAAATGTCGATGTTTTCGTAATAAATTATCGATGTAATATTGATTATGAATTAATTGTTTATTTATTTTATTAAAATTATAACAAGTGTTCAAAGTGAGCCCTAATTCCTACTTCCAACAATCCATACTTTCGCTCTATTCTACATGTTTCGCGTAACTCTTTGAACTATAAAGAATCGATAATAATTGTTATTTTTATCGATTCTCTCGATAGCATAGAGTGATTACAACCACTTCGCTACTTACTGTCGTTCTTCTTTCGCCGTGTATTCGAATCGTCAGTTCCATTCCGCTTTGCTACTGTCCATCCTTTTTCTTTCCTTTTATAGACGAATGCTGCTTTGTTATAACAATGAATATAAAACTTAGATAGAAAAATGATAAGGACTTTTTGACTTGTATTCTTGTATCTTATATATACTCTATGTATATTTTTTTACACTATGTATATATCTCAACAAATAAGTATAGATATAACTGCGCTATATGTATAATACATATATGTGTACATAAACATCACTTACACACTCGTTTACACTCTCAGATAGCAACGTCTGCTTTGTTCTTTACTAAATATGCACTGCTAAATATGCAAGGCCCAATTTCACAACTCATGGTTAACTCTTAACCGAGCCTATTTATTATCTCTTTCCAATTCTAAAATTGGAAAAAGATGAGAAATAAGTTGAACCTTGGTTAAAAGTTAACTGTGAAACTGCCTAAGTAAATAAATTGCTACCATAATTGCAGCAACTGAGTCCGCATTTGTCGGCGACTTTGATATCTTCACGATATAACTTTGGATAGCAACTTGCCCATCTTTTGCCGACAACTTTAAAATCATCATCAAAATTTGTATTGTTTATATGTATTATATAGTAATATGTATATGTGCAGCACACATGTATGTATATGCTGCAGTTATATATAGCCGACAACGGTAACATTGAGTGCGTTTGCAACTGTATAGAATTCTTTAATATGATTGGACTTGCTCTTAATTCTTCATTGGATCTAATATATAAACCAATCATATTCAAGAATTTTACAACAGTTGCAAAGTTGCTTTTTCTGCTGAATGTAGCAATTGATGTAGCTATCTTGCCATTAAACTGCTAGTAATATTTAATTGTTGCCTGCATATTGTTACATTGTATATTCCAAATTGTTGAAGACAAATATACAGCAAGTTGCCAGATGCCAGCATCATAAATAATCATAGATTTGTGCGATTTTGCTGAGGCACGCTTTGTTATCTGAAATGTTATGTAGCAATTATATTCATGATTTGCTGAGATATACAAAGGAAAGTCGCCGATATTACATAGGTCTCCTAAAGGGACACTTCCTTATTTCTCACAAGATTCTCCAATTTAAATGAACTTTTAGTATGTTGTTCTATGGACAAAAATAGAAGACATAAATTTTTTTTTATACGTACTGAGTCGCACGTTAAAGGGATAAAATTCTTCCTTGAAAAAAATCGATTTTTTTTCTTTCAGTTATCGTCGAAATTGTAAGAGATAGAAAAACATTTATAGAATGAAAATTGAATAACATTAAGAGTACTTTAGAATCACAATAAAAAAATTTTTTCTTTATAAATAAATAATTTTTATTGTAAATAAATAATTAAAAAAAATATTTTTTTACTATAGTTATAAAGTACTCTTGAAGTCTTTTAATTTTCATTCTGAAAATTTTTTTCTATCAGTTTTTTCTTACAGTTTCGACGATATTCAATCTGAAAGAGAAAAAAAATTGATTTTTTTCAAAGGAGGATTTCATTCTCTTAACAGACAGCACCTATAAAAAAATACGTGTCTCCTATTTTTGTCCATAGAATAACATACTAAAAGCTCATTTAAATCAAAGAGATTCACTTAGTTGTGTTTCACTGTCAGTAATCAACTATTGCACTTTATTAATATTAATAAAATCATGATCTGTTTAGCTAATTAAAGAACAAACTATACTATAATTCGTGTATTTGCGGCTTGTTTCTATACCAAATCAGCTAAAAATGAATTCTCTCGACGAAGGCGAAAATAAAATTTTTATGATTTTCTTTTGCAAATTGCGTAGTTTAAATAACAGTGACTATATTATTGATAATTTTACGTCATTTTAAAAAGTGTAATTTCTTAAATCAGTTTTATTTATATTATTTTTTTCTCTTAGTTTTTTCATAATATGATTTTAAATTTAAAATTGGGATGCAGCGTAAACCATCACACCTGTCTGTAAAACAAATTATGAGCTAACTTAATCTTTATAATGTTGATTTATACTCAAATAGCTCTATTAGAGCTAAAGACAATCGCAAATATCGTGGAAAAATTTTTAAAAACTCTCGTTACATATTTGCATCTTGCATAAAGTAAATATGCATATAATTCAATAAAAATGTTTTATAACGAAGAGTGAAAAGATTTTTGAATACTTTATATACATTCACTTGTAGATACTTTATACAGATAATTCCTATAAAAGAAAAAGAATAGGAATATGTAGCATTACTGCTTACTGTGTCAGTTTCGGAACCCATTTTGTCAAACGCTCATTTTTGCTTAGCTGCAAAAAATTAATTATTGCAAAATTGTAAATAGTATTATAAAAAACTACTTACACTGTCTGATGGAAGATACTTTAGTTTGTATTTATGTTTTTAAAATTTTATTTTTATCTTTTGTTTAAGAAATATTGTCTAAAAACAAAGTAATATCGGTGACTTTTCTCTATATATATATACATATATATATATATATAT